TTGGATCCCAGGCGTTGGAGCCGCGGTCCATGAGCGCGCGCGCAATGAGGAACTTGGGCCGCTCTGTTGGAATCTCGTGGGATGTGATGCGGGGCAGGAACTCGGTCATGGCCGCCTGCGCTTGCTCAGTCGACACGCGGAGGGAAGACGGCGGCGCCTGCTGCTGCTGCGTGGGTGGCGGCTGCACGGGTGTGACGTCGATGGCCGCGAGGTCGTCGTCGTCGTCGTTGGCGTAGATGGGCTGGTCCGACGCACCGGGCCGCATCACGCTGTCTGTGCGGGCAAAGTTGCTGCCACCTGGCGGGGCTGTGTTTGTTGGCTCGGGCTGGTTGAGCGGCTGCACGTAGTTGGAGGGGATGCAGCCAATCTGCAGCGTCTTCTGCGACTGCGCCTTCCACCACTGCTCCTCGTGCTTCTGCAGGATGTTGAGCACCTCCCCCTTGCGGAAGCTGAGGTCCTCTGGGTCGCGCGCGTTGAAGTTGTACAGGGCGCGCGCCTCAAACAAGAAGTTGTCCACCAGGCGGCCGTTCTGGAAGGCCGAGTCGAGCGGCAGCGGTGCAGACAGCGTCGTCTGCTCCAGCAAGTGCCGCTGGTAGTACTCGATGATCGCCGGCAGGTTCATGAACGTCTGGTCGCCCACCGTGTACTGGTTGTTGCCGAGCCGCGCAATCTTGTAGTGGCTGGTGCGCCCGAGCTCGCTCACGGACATGACAAAGTCGCCCACGCTGGACGTCGAGTCGCGGATGAGGAACGTGCCGTCCGGCATGCCCGTCAGCCGCGCCTCCACATCTGCGCGGTCCACGCGCCCATGAAACCACACGGGCGCAGGGCCGGCTTCCCCAAACGCATTCTTGTGAATTGCGTCCAAGTCTCCCATGCTGAAACACGTGTGCGTGCGTGTGTGAGTGTTGTGTGCGTGTGTGAGTGTTGTCCTTGTGGGTGTCTGTTGTCCTTGTGGGTGTCTGTGTTTGGATATGGGCAGAGGAGGGGGGTGGTGGTCGTCTTTCCCGTCTCTTCTGTCTCTTGTTCCGAGCACAGCACAGCACAGCACAGCCAGAAAAAAAAATACATAATGCACCATCGCACATTTCTGCTGAGTCAGCACATTCACAACAGCGGAGCAAGCAAGCAAGCAGCGAGCAACAACAAGGACGACAACGAGGGCTCATGATGACGGGAGAGAGGAAGAGGGAGGCAGCGTTGCTGGCGCGGATGCGCAAGGCGGAGGAGGAGGCTGAGGAGCTACACGTGCAGGCGCAGGAGCTGAACAAGCAAGCAAGCTACGATGAGGCCGTGCTCGTGTATCGGCAGTATCGGCAGCGGGACGACGACGCCATCGAGCTGGCTCTGCGCATCGCAAAGCTCAGGAAGCGCCAACGACGCAGACGCAAACAACAACTACAGCAACAACAACAGCAGCAACAACAACAACAGCAGCAGCAAGCATGTGACAAGGAAGGGGATCGTCCCGCCAAAGCAGCCAAGATGATGACCATGAAGGACACGCCGCCAGAAAGCAGTTGCGCTAGCACAAACACCGGCAGCAGCAAAGGTCCCCCTGCTGCCACTGCCACTGTCACTTCCATGACCAACAACAACGCCACACCTTCAGCAGCAACAGCAGTAACGGCAGGCGCAAAGACGAAAAGCAGGTTCAACTTGGCCGCAATACCCACTGCACCCTTCCAGCCACAAACACAAACACAGCCACAGCAGCAGCAGCAGCAGCCACAGGCAAAGGTACAGCCACAGAGCCAACAGGCCAAGCAGCAACAGCAGCAGCAGCAGCAGCAGCAGCAGCAGCAGCAGCAGCAGCAGCCAAATCACCCGTTCCTGCCAACTGTGATGATTGAGGATATCAATTCATTGGCAACGCCATTTGCAGAGATGGACAGTGCCCCTGACCCTGCACCCTCTCTCCTTGCCGGCATGCGCGCCAACAGCAATGGCGAGAGCACTGCCACCACAACCAACGATGATTTTGCTGACGACGACGACGATGACAATGACGACGGTGATGACGACACCCTCTCCGTGTCCAGCAGTGACGACAGCGATGACAGCGATGACAGCGAGGCAATGGCAAGCGGGTACCGGTTCAGCGCGCTGTTTCCTGCGCTGCCTGGTGCGTGTGCTCGCGAGCGGCGGCTAGCGCGGTGCCGCTGCCTTGGGGCCGTGTTGGGCGCCGTTGTCGGAGACGCTTCGGCCAACGGCGTGCAGTGGGTGTATTCGCCGGAGAAGCTGCGGCGGTTTGAGGCGCAGCAGGTGCGACGTCACGGCCACGCCGGCCTCGAGTTTATGGATCCGCCTGCCAACGAGCACTTCACGTACGAGGTGGGCCGCAACTCGCCTTACGGCGAGCAGGCGCTGGTGCTGCTGGAGGCCCTGGCCAAGGACGGCAAGCTGGACACGTTCCTGTATGCGCGGCGGTTTGCCGCTGCGTTTGGCGGGAACTGGCACGTGCGCTGCAACGGCTACCGGGACGCGTCATGCAAGGGGTTTCTGCGCAACTGGGCGCTTGGCAAACGCCCGCCAGAGAGCGGCGCGCGCGACAAGCAGATCAACTGCATCACCCGGCTCGCCCCGCTCCTGTGCGCCTTCAGCGGCGCGGACACCGGTACCTTGCACGCGGTGGTGGAGCAGACGACGCGCGTCACGCAGAACATGCCCGAGGCCGTGGCGTGGGCGACGCTGGGCGCATACGTGCTCGACCCTGTGCTTGCGCGCGGCACGCATCCGCACGACGCCGTGCAAGGCGCGCTGCAGCGCGTGGAGGAGCGGGTGGCACGCGCTGGCACGGCGCGGGAGGAGGTTGCGGCCGACGAGCTGTACCTGGTGGCGGGTCACATGTACCAGCCGCTGCGGTGGAGCGTGTGGGCGGACGTGCGCGAGGCCGTGGATGAGCTGGGCAGGAACTGCCACACCCCCAACAGCTACCAGACCCCCGTGCACGCCGTGCTGCACCACCTGGCCCAGGCGCCCGCGCTCCAGCAGCGAGGCAGCCACGGCAGCTGCGATAGCGGTGGTGATGGTGGTGTTGGAGGTGATGGTGGTGTTGGAGGTGGTGAAAAGCTGAATGGCAATGACCTGAATGGCGAGGGTCGTTCTGGTGGAGGAGAAGGTGGTGATGGCAGTCGTGGAGGCGGCGGCGCCACTGGACAGGAGCGTGTGACCATGGACGAGTTGGTCGCGGAGTGTAGGCGTGTGTATGTGGAGTGCATGCGGGAGGCCATGCGCCAGGGCGGGTGCTGTGCGAGCCGGTGCGGCGTGATTGGCGCCCTGCTCGGCGGCTACCTGGCTGGGGTGCTTGCATCAGCGGCAGCGGATACCAGCAGCGGGAGCAGTTTTGACGGCGGCAGCGGCGGCGGTGGCGATGGGGATGGGCTGGACAGTGAAGTGGGTGGCGGCGATGAGGAGGACGCCCTGGACCGCCACCTGGGCAGCGTTGCGCTTGCATTCATTCCGCCAGAGTGGAAGCAGAAGACGCTGGCGTTTGCAGACGCGCACCGCTGGGCCAGCACCATCCTCAACGCCAGGCAGCACTGATTTGATGTGTGTGTGCATGTATGTGCATGTGTGCATGCAGTACGATGTAGTGTTGTACTTGCTCTGTGTGTGTGCGTGTGTGTGCGTGTGTGTGTGTAAGATCTTGTTGCCATGTGCTTGTGTGCGTGTGTGTGTTGTGTTGCCTGCAGGCATTGGTTTGAGCTTTCTGTGTGTGTGGTCTTTTCTGCCCCCCCCCCCCTCGGTCTGTGTCTTTTCGATTTGGCTCGGCTTGGCTTGGCTTGGTTAGCAGCAATGCAGTGAAGTGATGTGTGAAGTGAACAAGCGCGCAGGCAAGCAAGAGCGTCTTTGGTTTGCGTTTGACGTGACAACACAGAAAGCAGTCGACTGAATTCAGGCTTTCAGTCTTGCTCAAGGCCTGTGTTTGTGGGTGTTTTGTTGTGGCAGCGCTCCACTTTATTTTCCGTGCCTCCACGCCCACCATCGTCATTGATCGATCGATTGCACCCTCTTCAATCCCTCTTCCTGTCTCACAACAACAACAACAACAACAACAACAACAACAACAACACCCGCGCGATGAGCCTCAAGCACTTTGATGTGACCGCCGATGGCGAGGTGTGTGTGTGTGTGTGTTTGATTCTCGTTTGTTTGCAAGAGAAAGGAGTGTGATGATATGATTTTCCTTGCTTGTCGCGTTGTCACTGCTGTCCTTTTGGCCTTGAAACACGCCCTCACTCTTGCCTGACTATATCACAAACACACGTTTACAATGGCAAATTGTTGCCATGATGATGACATGACATGACAGGTCGATCTCAAGATCACGCCGGATGGCGCCGCCTCCGCGGAGCCCATCACTGTCATGCAGCGCTTCAAGGAGACCGTCGAGGTAGTGTGTGTGTGTGTGCGTGTGTGCGTGTGTGTGTGTGTGTGTGTGTGTGTGTGTGTGTGTGTGTGTGTGCGTGTGTGTGTGTGGTTGTGTGTGTGTGTGTGTGTGTGTGTGTGTGCGTGTGTGGTTGTTTATTCGGTCGCGCACTCCTCCCTTACCTCACCCACATAATCACTCCCTCACCGCCCCCCCCCTGCCCTTCACTCGCTTGCACACTCCCCCCCCCCCTTTCCAAAACACCCAACAGAAAGTCGGCGACCGCCCCGCGCTGTGCGTGAGCCGGGATGGCGCGTGGCAGCAGTGGACGTGGCGCGACTTCTACGAGGACGTCAAGATGGCCGGCCGCGCCTTCATCAAGCTTGGCCTCGACGCGCACCACGCCGTCGGCATCATCGGCTTCAACAGCCCCGAGTGGTTTATCGCCGACCTTGGCGCCATCTTCGCCGGCGGCTTTGCCACGGGCATCTGTACGTCCAACACCACGCTTGTAGTAGTCGTCACGGACAGGCTGAAGGGTGGATGGACAGAGTTGCAGACACCCACATCGACACAGACACCCCCGCACACACAGAGGGAGAGACACGCACACACAGAGGGAGAGACACGCACACACACACACACACACACACACACACACTCACACACACACACACACACTCTCTCTCTCTCACACACACACACACACACACACACACACACACACACACACTCACACACACACTCTCTCTCTTTCTCTCTGCACCACAGACACGACCAACGGGCCGGAGGCGATTGAGTATGTGGTGAACCACTCCAAGACCCAGATCATTGTTGCCGAAGACAAGAAGCAGCTGGATAAGATCCTGCAGGTGCGCTGGTGTTGTCATTGCGACTGGAGGAGGGCGCGCACGTGCCCTTGCCGTGCTGTTCCCTGTGTGTTGGTCGACGATATGCAGCCGCTGGATCAACGTTGTTCGCCCCATCAACCCGACACACACACACACACACACACACACACACACATTCACTCACACACTCATTCACTCACACTCACTCACACACACTCACTCACACAAACTCCCCCTTCTTTCTTTCTTCGTCCCTGCTCAACCATGCCCCCTGCGTCCGTCCCCCCCCCCCTGCTCCGCCTTCGCCGATGCCAATGCGCGCGGCAACAGGTGCACCAGAACTTTGAGCATCTCAAGGCGATTGTGCTGTACAACGACACGGTGCCTGATGTGGAGTGCACCGTCCCCATCCTGGACTGGGACGAGTTCATGCGCCACGGCGCAGGTGTGGTTCCCATTGTTGTTGCGTGTTTGCTGTTGTTGCTGCTACACCTGTGCACATGCATCTCCTTGCCACGACATGTTGTTGAAATGTCATACAGACAACCGATTGCATGCAGTCATTCATCACCACCACTCTCTCTCCTCCACCAATACCACCACCACAACCACCTCGCCACTCCTCCCACCGCACGCCTTTTGTTTGTTGCACCAGACGTGCCGGACTTTGAACTTGGCCACCGCATGAGTGTGCAGAAGCCCGGGCAGTGCTGCATGCTCATCTACACGTCTGGCACGACGGGTAACCCCAAAGGCGTCATGATCACGCACGACAACGTCACGTGGACGTCCGCCACGCTTGCCGCCTCTCTGCCCAACATGACGTTTGGCAAGGAGCACATTGTCAGCTACCTCCCGCTGTCGCACATTGCTGCGCAGATTCTGGACATGCACGCGCCCATGATCCTTGGCGCAACCGTCTGGTTTGCTCAGGTGCGATGAAGCGTGGTGGTTGTACTTGTGCGTGTGTGGTGCAGTAATGTGCGTGCGGTTGTGTGATATGTACGCGTGTGTGCGCATGTGTGTGCATGTGTGCATGCATATGTACGCGCGTGTGTACATGTGTGTGCATGTGTGCATGCAGTTGTGTGTGTGTGTGTGTGTGCGTTGTTGTTGTGGTTGCTCTGTTTGTCATTTTATGAGAGTTTCCTCTGCTTGTGCACGCCTTCCTGTCTGCTTCCCCACGCACCACATCACTAACACCACCACCACCACCACCACCATCATCATCACCACCACCACCACTGTCGCCATCGTCAGCCGACTGCGCTCAAGGGAACGCTGGTGCAGACGCTGCAGGAGGTGCGCCCAACGGTGTTCCTTGGCGTCCCGCGCGTGTGGGAGAAGATTGAGGAGAAGATGCGGGCTGTTGGCAGCGAGACGACGGGCCTGAAGAAGAAGATTGGCACGTGGGCCAAGCGCAAGGGTCTCGATGGCGCATACGCCATCCAGCAGGGGCGGCCCGTGCCTAGCGGCTGGGGCGTCGCAAAGAAGTGAGCATAGTGTGTATGGTGTGCGATGTGTGTGTGTGTGCGTGTGCATGCTTGTCTGTGTGTTTGTGTGCTTGTCTGTGTGTGTGTGTGCTTGTCTGTCTGTGTGTTTGTGTGTGTGCACTTGTCTGTGTGCGTGCGTGTGCATGTGCGTTTGTGTGTGCATCTGCTGTCGTTGTGAGCTCTCGATGCCTCAAGCCCCTTGACGCTTTCACCACCCCCCCCCCTGCACACCGCTCATCCCCACCCTGCAACTACTACCACCCCCCACCCCAAACAGGCTTGTGTTTTCGAAGGTGCGCAAGGCGCTTGGGCTTGACCGGTGCAAGTTCTTTGCCACCGCCGCCGCCCCAATCTCAAAGGACACGCTCGAGTACTTCCTCTCCATCAACATCCCAAGTGAGGCCATGCAAAGAGCTTCTTTCCCCCGGGGGGGGGGGGTTGCGTGTTGCGAGGGTGATTATTGTGGATGCTTTTCCTCAAACCACCTTCACAGTATCTCGCAGTGTAATTTCACACACACAACACACAACACACAACACACAACACACAACACACAACACACAACACGCATCATCATCATCATCATCATCATCATCATCAGTCATGGAGGTGTATGGCATGTCCGAGAACACGGGCCCGCAGTCGCTGAACATTCCCGGGAAGCACCGAACGGGCTCGGTCGGCCTGCCGCTCGCCGGCACGGAGCTCAAGATCCACGAGCCAGACCAGGACGGCAACGGCGAGATCTGCTTCAGGGGAAGGCACATCTGCAAGGGGTGCGTATTGTGCGCAGTGTCTCGAAAGTGGGGGGGGGGGCATCGTTGTTTCACGTGTGTATTTTAGTGTTGTTCGTGTTCGTGTGTGTGGTTGTGTCGCAGGCTCGCATGTCAAACTTCATGCGGTTTGTGTTCTGCCCATGCTCCTGCGTGTTGTCATCTCTGCCGTCGTTTGTTCGTGTTGTCATCTCTCACAACTCCCCCCGCCCACTCATTTCCCTTCACCTCACCTCACCCCCGCCCCCCCCCCACCACACACTTTATCTTGACGCCGGGTGTGCAGGTACATGTACAACGAGGAGAAGACACGGGAGTCGATTGATGCCGAGGGCTGGCTGCACTCTGGCGACATTGGGCGGGTGGACGAGGACGGGTACCTCTACATCACGGGCCGCATCAAGGAGATCATCATCACCGCCGGCGGCGAAAACGTTGCGCCCGTCCCCATCGAGAACGTGCGTTGTGTGCTTGCTTGCGGTTGTTGTTGTCTCGTGTGTGTGTGTGTGTGTGTGTGTGTGTGTGTGTGTGTGTGTGTGTGTGTGTGTGTGTGTGCGTGTGTGTGCGTGTGTGTGTGTGTGTGTGCATATGCGTGTGTTGATGCTGCGACCCTCTTCCCATCCCCTCCTTCCTGTCCACCCCCTCTGCGCTACACTCACTGACCCACCCAAACCACCACCTTCTCTTCCCATCCCCTCCCATCCTCCCATCCTCCTCTCTCTCTCCTTCTCTCTGCAGCTGGTGAAGGAGAACTGCCCGATCATCAGCAACTGCATGCTGATTGGGGACCGCCGCAAGTTCCTGTCGCTGCTCGTCTGCCTCAAGTCCGAGGTTGACCCGGAGACAACCGCCCCCCTGGACGAGCTCACCCCCCAGACCATCGAGATCCTCGAAGCGTGCGTTGCATTGCAGTGGTGGTGGGAGTTGCGCTGGTGAGGGGGAGGTTGATGGATGGAATGGTGTGCTGTGACCACCTTGTGTACGTGTGTGTGTGTGTGTGTGTGTGTGTGTGTGTACATGTCGTTGGAGTGTGAGCATCACGTAACCATTCATCACATGGCACCACCTTTGTTCGCCACTCCGCTTCAACCAAACCTCACACACACACACACACACACACACACACACACACACACACACACACACACACACACACAACACACACCACACACACACACACACACACGCACACACACGCGCACGCACGCACCATTTCCCACCACCAACCGCAGGCAAGGCTCCAAGGCCAAGACTGTGACGGAGGCGATGGACGACGAGCACGTTCTCAAGTACATTCAGGCCGGCATTGATGAGGCCAACAAGCACGCCGTCTCCCGCGCCCAGAAGGTGCAGAAGTTCAAGATCCTCCCACGCGACTTTAGGTCAGACCGTAGCAACAAATCAGAGAGAGAGAGAGAGGTGGGGGGAGGGGGGCGCCTTGGGTGGTCGTGTTTGCGGTGATTGTGGCAGTGGTCGTGGTAACGGGTGTGGTGATGCCGTTGCATTCATACATATGCAATGTTGTATTCACGCACACTCGCACACTCACACACACACACACACACACACACACACACACTCACACAAACAAACTTAGCGTGCCTGGTGGCGAGCTTGGCCCCACGCTCAAGCTGCGTCGCCCCATTGTCGTGAAGCAGTACGAGGAGCTCATCGACAGCTTCTACGCCTGATCCACACGCCAACCAATGATGATTTGATGACTGTGATGCTGGGTGCTCACGTGTGTGCGCCCATGCCTCAGCTCACATCCAGCTCACATCGCATTCGCCACCCAGCACCACTTCCCACACGCTTACCACCTGTCTCTGTTTTGGCCCGTTGTAGATGATTTGTGTAAAATTCTGTACAATTTTCTGCAATGACTGGACGGAGGGAAGTGCGCCGTGGCGAAGGGTGTGGCGATGGGGAGCGAAGGCAAACCCCCCCCCTCGAACAGATGCGATTGCCTTGCCTTGGCGTGGAAGAAGAAGATGAGCGATGCAAAAACAACAACAACATGTCAGTCACTGACGTGACACTGAGCCTATGTCCACTTCCATGCATGTGCCGTGTCTCTTTGTTCTCTTCCCAATCGTTCACCTTCGGCCACTTCCCGTGGGACGGGCGTGACCCACCACTCCCCACATCGATGGGCTTTGCCTTTTGTTGTGTCGGCTTGCTTGGTCTTCTTCCTTTCTTCGTCGTGTGTGTGGTTGTGGGTTGCGACGACGCCATCCGCAAAACAAGCCCGCAAGCCACTCGCTCGCTCAATCAACCTAGCAAACAAGCAAGCTAGCGAAGCCGCTGTCCTTTGTCGCTTTGTCTACTTGTCTTTGTTGCTTGCTTGTTGTCCGTTCCCTTTCACCCTTCCTTCTCTCTCTCTCTGTCACTATCACACACACACACACACACACACGTGGCAAGACAAACAAAGCCAACACCAAACGTTTGCCCGCGTTGTGGTGCAAGTTGCACCCGCTGTTGTTTTCTCCTTGCTTGTTTTGTTTTGCCTTTTGCCTCGTCTTTGGCTTTGTCTCCCATGTTTTGTTGGACTGAACACGCTCGCTGCATATCAATCGCCGCACATTGCTCCACTCCACGTCTCATACCCAGAACAAAACGAACGAGCGCTCCTTCTCCTCCTCCTCGCTTGCCTGCTTCCTTCACTCCGTTGTGCATTGGCTTGCCAGCCCTTCCACCTTCTCCTTCGAAGACGAATTGCCGTTTGCCGGACCCCAAGCAAAGCCGCCTCCACAAGACGCCGCCACACCCGCGAACATCAGCAGACTGCCGTCGCCATACACATACGAAGCCACCATCGCATCAAGCAACCGACCGCCAGAAGACAAGCAAGGCATGGATGCAGCGGCGTTTGTGCCCCAGCGATCGGGGGTGCCAGCGTATTTCCCTGCGCTGCTCAACGACACAGACCGCAACAACAAGTACAACGCCGCCATCAAGGAGACCATCACCCTGTTTCAGCAGGCGTATGGGCGCCCGCCAACGGTGCTGGATGTCGGCGTTGGCACGGGCCTGCTCACCATGATTGCACTGCACCACGGCGCTGCGCACGTGATGGGGCTGGAGGCCAACGAGGACCTGGCTGCCATCGCCCGCCGCCAAATCGCCGCACGATTCCCCGACACCACGCGGTGGGAGGTGCGGCACGCGCTCTCCGTGGACTTTGTTGACGGCCCGTACGACATGGTCGTGTGCGATCTCGCCGGAGCCATGCTCAACTCCGAGTCGATGCTCTTGTACATGTGGGACACGCTCATGCGTGGCATTGTGCGCAACTTTGGCACCCCAGTCAACCCCATCTTCTACACCGTCCCGCAACACGGAGAAATGTGCGTTTGTGTACATGTGTGCGTGTGTGTGTACATGTGTGTGTGTGTGTTTTGTGTGCGTGTGTGTGTACATGTGTGTGTGTGTGTGTGTGTGTGTGTGTGTGGTTGTGTGTGTGTGGTTGTGTGTGTGTGTGTGTGTGGTTGTGTGTGTGTGTGTGTGTGATATTCTTTGCTTGTCTTGCGTAACCCCCCTCCCCTTCCAACTCTCCCTCCCTTCACCCTCACCCTTCTCCTCACCCCCTCCCCCACTTTTGTACTCATCCAGGACGTTGTGTGCGTACAGCTGCACCCAAGCCGTTGGCGTCAACACGGGTCTCTCGTTTGCACCGATGCAGGAGGCGTATGATGCCGTGAACACCCCGCCCCAGCGCAGCCCCACTATCAATTGGCTGCGGGACGAGAGCATGCAGATCTGTCTGGCGGGCACGGACTGGCACGCCCTGACACAGCCGCAGCGCGTGCTTATGGAGCGCTACAACCAGGTGCGCAACAGCGTCACGTGCGAGCCAAGCATCACCATGCACATCTCACCCGCGCAATACGACACGGCGGTGCTGGTGCTGGAGTGGAAGCTGCAGCTGTCGCCGACGGTTGTGTTGCGTCACGACCTGCGCCACGTGTCTGAGATGACAGAGCCATGCCGCCTCGCGCGGTGGATCACGCGCGGGCACATGTACTGCCCGCTCAAGCACATTACGCCGTGCCAGCCAAGCAGCACATACACATTTGATGTCGTGTACTGCCCGGCAGAGATGATCATGCGGCTGCGCGCCATGGGCATGCAGGCGGAGCAGGCAGCACAGGCACAAGCGGTCGCTATTGGTGATGGTGGTGGTGATGGTGGTGGTGATGGTGATGGTGGTGGTGGTGGTGGTGGTGAGGAGGCAAGTGGGAGCACCAGTACCAGTGGCAGCGGCAGTGTTGCTTCTGATCAAGAAAACCAGGCCAACCAACAACAACAACAACAACAACAACAACAACAACAACAACAACAACAACAACAACAACAACAACAACAACAACAACAACAACAACAACAACAACAACAACAACAACAACAGCAGCAGCAGCAGCAGCAAGGGAAAGAGGGCAGCAAGCCACCTGCTGTAAGCCTTGCGTGTCAGCAAGCGTCAGCAGCGTCAACAGCGCCAACAACACCGACAGCGACTGCTCTGCCCGCAGCAACCCCAGCATCACCAACACACGGCAAGGAGATGTGGATGCTCCCGCCCATCGCCACCGGCACCACCAGCATCGGCATGAATGGAACAATGCACGCCACACCTGCTGCCACTGCTACTTCCCATACAGCCACCACCTCCGCCGCCAGCAAAACCAACACTGACACAAACAACGGCAGCGGCAGCAGCACACGCAGCGTTACGCGCACAAACAGCAGCAGGGCCGCACCTCAAGCCCCAGCCACGACCTTACCCATTGCGTCGTCTGTGACACCGCCAGCAACCACTGCACGAACAATATCAACCACTGCACCAGCAGCCACAATACCTCCAACCACAACACCTCCAACCACAATACCCCCAACCACAGCAACTTCAACCACCGCAGCCACAGCAACCACAGTAACCACAGCAGCCGCGTCAACACGAGCATCAGCGCTGACAGAAAGGCATGCAGCGACCGCCAAGAGGAAGCACACGGAGGCAACGACGGAAACAAACGGGGTGGTGCCATCGACCGACCATGATGATGATGGTGATGGTGGTGATGGTGGCGATGTTGCAAAGAAGAAACACAACAGCGGGTGCGATCGTCGTGATGGTGATGACGATGATGTTGCCGGTAGCAACGAGCCCGCAACTGTTGAGGAGTTTGGGGAGGTGGTTGGAGGCGGCACAGATGACGATGGCGAGAGTGATGATGACAGTGGTGGTGTTACTGGTGTTGCCATCAATGGTGGTGTTAATGACAGCAATTACGGCGGGGATGGCGGTGATAACGCCTCAACTGACGTGCGGGCGATGGACACGACGACAGAGACAAATCCACCGGCACCAACGCCCTCTCAACAGGCACCAGCACCAATGGCAGCAGCACCAACAGCAGTACCAACACCAACACCAACAGCGACACCAACAACAGCAGCACCAACAGTAGCACCAGCAGTAGCACCAGCAACACTGCCACCAACAACGGCACCAACAGTAGCACCAACAGCGATAGCAGCAGCAGACACCAACAACAATTTCAGCATCAGCCACTCGAGAACAAGGCGACGAAGAGGACCACCGCTCAACCTCAACTTGAGCCACGATCGTGATCACAGCAGTGACAGCAGCAGCAGCAGCAGCAGTGGCAGCAGTGGCAGCAGTGGCAGCAGCAGCGACAGTGATAGTGACAGCAGCATTGACAGTGATAGCGCGCACCACCACCACGACCGCCACCAGCACCGCCGTCACCCTTTTTACGTTGGGAGTCGCCCAACCAACGCCGCCCCGCTTCCTCGGTTCAAGTTTGTCGACATGCAGCCACAGCACAGCCATCACCACCACGTCCCGCGCCGCAAACACCGCACCCGCCATCACCATCCCCATCACCATCGGCAGCGGGAGGGAGGCGAGCACCGCGACCGTGGTGGCTCCAGGCGACGAGACGGCCGGCAGAAGCGACGCCGACCACAGCCAGCGCCCGGCACGCACCACCCGCCAGCAACGGCCAACACAGGACCGGTAGCGTCGCCGTCTCACACGCCACGGCAGTCGCGGCCGCAGTACATGGCCAGCGCAGTCAACGAGCTGTCACCAACGCGGACCACGCCACTGCTCAGCGGGGGTGTCATGCACAGCTGGCGGTTCAGTCGTCAGCGCAGTCCCGAGGGAACATCGTCTCGACAGACATACACGTTTGTGGGCGGCGGTCCGGACCCGCACACGCCCGGATGGCGGCAGCAGGAGGAGCACTGGCGACGCTCGCGGCAGCGGAGGGCACGACGACTCCAACAGCCGCAGCATGCGCACGTGCAGGACCCACGGTATCGGCAGTACCAGCGGCTCTACCAGCAGCAGCAGCAGCAACAACAACAACAGCACCAACAACAACAACAACAACAGCACCAACAACAGCACCAGCAACAGCAACAACAGCCACAACAACAACAACAACAACAACAACAACAACAACAACAACAACAACAACAACAACAACAACAACAACAACAACAACAACAACAACAACAACAACAACAACAACAACAACAACAACAACAACAACAACAACAGCAGCAGCAGCAGCAACAACAGCAGCAGCAGCAGCAGCAGCAGCAGCACCCTGGTGGTGGCAGTGGGCGTCGGCTTCGTCACCCATCGCGCAAGAAGAGGAAAAGCAGCACTGGCAGCAGCACGAGGGGGATACACCCGCTGTCAAAGTGCACGACCACTGCTTCAACGCCACCGGTAACACAGCCAACACCAGCACAAACGATGATGACACCAGCAGCAACAACGACGTCAGCAGCAACGCCAACAGCAACAACAGCAGCAGCAACAACAGCAACAACAACAGCAGCAGCAGCAGCAAGCGGTGTTGCAGTACAGGCAAGCAAAGCACCGAAGATGAACGACTATGCTCGTTTGCAGAGCACACAGCCATCGCCGTCGTCAGCGGTGGCGCTGGCGAACGCTGAGGCGATGCTGGAGTTGGCGGACGCACCTGCCACTCCACAGCAGCAGCAACAGCGGTTGCAACAACAAGAGCAACAGAAGCAGGCGCAAGCTTCCATAGCGCCTGCTGTTCAAGCAGTGCCCCACCAAACCACATCCTCTTCATCCTCATCCTCTTCTTCTTCATCTTCATCATCAGCCTCCTCGTCTCCCGAGACACAAGCGTCTGGTCCATTGGCCACCACGATGTCAGTACTGCATTTCAACGGCACCACTACCACCACCACCACCACCAACACCACTCATGGCACCAGCACCAGCACCAGCACCAGCGGCAGTCGTGCGGATGCTGTATCACGTGTCCGGGCCAATGGCGGCAGCACAACAGGAAGGAGCAACGGTCGCGTTGCGAGCGGAACGAGCACCAACAACATCAACATCAACACACACGTGGCCACCAACAACAGGATCAACAGCGGTGTGCGCGGCGCCGCAAGTGGTGCCCCTGTTCCCACCACACCAATGACGACTGCTGCGAACCAAGGGCCGAGCGGGCTGGAGCTTGCACGCGCGGTGGTGGCGACCAAGGTGCTGCACGGGGCGGGCTTGTCCAATCTGGTGCCAGCCAACACCAGCACCAGCACGAGTGGTGGCAGGCGTTGACGTGTGGACGAGAACAGGGAGCGGTGTTGTAGCAGATGGTTTTGCATTGTGCTGCTCATGTGGAGTTCCAGTGCGTGAGTAGATATGTCACGCGATGCGATGTGATGCGATGTGATGTGATGTGATGTGATGTGATGCGAACAGACGGTGGTCGTGAACGCACATGCGTGCGTGTGCGTGTGTGTGTGCGTTCATGTGTGTGTGCGTTCGTGTGTGTTTACATAGTTCGTTAGCAAGTGTGCCTAATCCTTGTTCCCTCCAGCCTGGGTTTGTTGGTCTGTGATGACCCCCTTGTCCACCCTACTGTTCGTGTGCTCGTTGTCTTGCCTTCTTGCTTGCTCCGTTATGTTACCTTGCCAGCACAGAGAGTGTGCCCCTTTGTTACCGACCACAACTTGCCTTGGTCTCAACTGTTACAATGAAACACAACTTCGTCAAGCAAGCAGCCAAACACAACAAAGCCAACAACAACAAGCTGCCACCACGTCCACGTGCACACTGACCAACACAAACAACAACAGCCTGAGTACATAACACCAGCCTCGACGATGCCGCTTGTGGTGCTGTGCGGGTTCCCGTGCTCGGGCAAGACGCGGCGGGCAAAGGAGGTGCACGCGTACATGCAGGAGCGAGGGGTGCGGTCCGTGATTGTGGGTGACGAGAGCGAGGGCATCGACTTGGCGCGGGCATACGAGACGCCAAAGGTGGAGAAGACGACACGCGGCGTGATCAAGTCGGCCGTGGACCGCGCCCTCGCCAAGGACGTCGTCGTCATCGTGGACTCGCTCAACTACATCAAGGGCTACCGGTACGAGCTGTACTGCCTCGCCCGCGCCCTGCAGACGCCGCACTGCATCGTGCACACGCTGGCAAGGGACGCGGAGTGCATTGCCAGGCACGAGGAGCTGGGCTCGCCATATGGGGAGGGCAACGCGGCAAAGCTGATCCAGCGGTTCGAGGCGCCCAACGACCACCAGCGGTGGGACCGCCCCACGTTCGCCGTCACGCATGAGGAGACGCTGCCCTTGGATGACATCTACAAGTGCCTGTTCGAGCCCGAGAAGGTGGTCAAGGCACATCAAGCGACGCAATCCCAGCCCATATCCGCCACCAACTTCCTGTACGAGCTGGATCGCATCACGCAGGCGATTGTCGCCGCCATCCTGAAGGAGATGCGCACGGCCGTGGTTGGCGATGATCTTGCTGTTCCCGAGACGGACGCAAAGGTCCATGTCAAGCGCAAGTTTACCATGTCCGAGTTGCGACGCAGCAGACAAGCAGTAAGCTGTTGTGTGTGTGCGTGCGTGCGTGCGTGTGTGTATGTGTGTGTGCGTGCGTGCGTGTGTGTGTGTGTGTGTGTGTGTGTGTGTGTGTGTGTTGTGTATGCTTGCATGTGCCGTTCACCCCACACGATGGCTCACATGCCGGCTGACGCATCTCTTCCATGGTGTTCACAGTTCATCACATACACGAAGAGCCATCCCGTATCCGACACCAAAGCCATCGGCGCCCTCTTTGTCAACTTCCTCAACCACAGCAGCTAGCTTAGCCTTGTATGTGTGTGCGTGTGTGTGTGTGTGCGTGTCTGTGTGTGTGTGTGTGTGTGTGTGTGTGTGTGTGTGTGTGTGTGTCTGTGTGTGTGTGTGTGTCTGTGTGTCTGTGTGTCTGTGTGTGTCTGTGTGTGTGGCGCGTGGTGGTACAGATGTACTGTGCCCGGCCCACATGGATTGGCAGCTGTAAGCGCGAGCACCAGCTTTGGCGTTTGTACTGGTACATGTTCGCCACGTTCAGCGAGCAATACAGAAGAGAGCATCGTCATAGCATATCAAGGCCACACACACACACACACACACACACACACACACACACACACACACACACACACACACACACACACACACACACACACACACACACACACACACGCACGCACTATATCAAGCATCGTTCTTGGTGTCTTGATGTTGCTGACGCTGCTTCTCGCTGCTTGTTGTCTGCTGCGCGCTCAAAGACACGTCCTCGTCATCAAACCCAAAGTCGCCCTCCACCGCCTCGCCCCACCCATCATCAGCATCATCATCATCATCATCATCATCATCATCATCATCATCATCATCGTCTTCGCCGCTGTCCTCATGTTCCTCACCGCCATCACTCAACGCGTCCTCAACCTCATCGTCATACACATCATCATCCCCATCACTGGTGTCCTGGGCATATGGGCTGCTCAGCACGTGGCCACTAGCAGCACCAGCACCAACAGTGGAAGCGGTGCTGGTGGCTGGACCCGTCACGGCATTGCCGTCGCCACCGCCACCCGGTCGCCACAGCTCCTCCAAGTTGTAGTACAGACGCGCAGGCGGCATCATAAAGTGCACGGCAATGTTGCCTAGTGTGTGTGTGTGTGTGTGTGTGTGTGTGTGTGTGTGTGTGTGTGTGTGTGTGTGTGTGTGTGTGTGTGTGTGTGTGTGTGTGTGTGTGTGTGTGTGTGTGCATCAGTGAGTCTGCGTGCTGAGGGCAACGTATTGCATGACAGGATCATCCACAAGCTGAGGTGTTGCTTCATGTCCAGTCCCGCTGTCATGAGTTCCCCCGCGCAATTGTACCCCCCCCCCACTCCTCTTCTGCACCAACACACGCGCCACTGCTGACCTGTGTGGACGATGGTCCAGAACTGGTCGCCGAGCCCTTCCACGCGCACGCGGCCAGACTGCAGGTTGAGCTTCTCGTTGCACATGTCTGCAAGCGACGTCGCCATGGCGCGGAGATGGCGCGGTGACTTGCCCGTCACCACGACCACAAAGTCGGCAAAGCTCTGTCGCTGCTGGTCCACTTGCAGCACGCACACGTCATCTACAGGCAGGCAGCGCGCAAGTGTGAGTGTGAGTGTGAGTGTGAGTGTGAGCGAGGAATTTAGCGTTGGACGGAACGCCATCACAACGCCAGGCACGTGCAAGAAGTAAACAACAACTCCGTGTACACGACACACAAACGTGCTCAAACACACACACACACACACACACACACACACACACACACACACACACACACACACACACACACACACACACACGCACACGCACACAGAACACGCACACAGAACACGCACACAGAACACACAGACACACGCGCGCACACAGAACACGCACACAGAACACGCACCTCCTTTCATTTCAAAGATGTTGCGAACGACATCCTCGATGCCAACAAAGAGGCTGGACCGTGGAATGGGGTCGCCCGTCAACAGCAGCGTCACCTTGTCGCTGTCTTGCAGCTCCTCGATGGTCTCAAACTCTGGCAGCTGGTACTTCTGACCGGTGGTCGTCTCCCATATGGTTGCAAGCCCTCGCCGCCCCACCCTTGCACCAGTCGGTGCCATCGACCGCAGCCTGCTCTGCACACTCACCTGCACCGTGATGACATCGCGTGCGATCGCTGCCGCCCTTGCTGCCCTCGCTACCCTTGCTGCCGTCGTTGTTGTCAACGGGTGCGCGTTGGGTCGTGCGCTGGCCACACCGCCAGCATGGCAGGCGCCACTCGCTCTGCGGGCGACATCGCACCACCGCCGGACCCCCACCAACACGCTGCTGGCCCCTCTCGCAGCCTGCTGCATTTCCGCTGCGTGTGTGCCTGTGTCAACAGTACCTGCTGCACCGAGTGTTTGCGGACCTGATGTCGGTCCAAGCTGCTGCTGCTCGCTGCCTGCTCTGCGTTCCTGCTTGTTTTCCTTCTTCTATTGTCTTGTGTGCACTTCCTTGCACGCGATAGTGGCTGACTAGATGGTGCAATTATTTCCCAAGAGAGAGGACGACTGCCCAAACGCAAACAAAGGATGGATGTGCGTTTGGCGATATCGTGTGCCTTGTGTGCAGTGTGTTTGGTTCTGTTGGTTTGCTGTTGTTGTTGTTGTTTGTTTGTTGTTTGTTGGAGCTTCCGTCAACTCTCCTTGCCCTCGCTCACCCCTCTGTCTGTCTCTCTCTCTCCCTCCCTGTGACGGAAACAAACAATAATGCAGGGCCCACCGCTGTGTTCAGGATGGCTCACCAAGCTGGGCTACAAGTCGGGCAAGTGGCAATCGAGGTACACATCAAGCTTCTTTTTGTTTGTGTTTTGTTGTGTTTTGGTTTTGCGCCTGAGATATGCGTGTGTGTGTGTGTGTGTGTGTGTGTGTGTGCACGTACTACTTGTGTGCGGGGCCTCTTTGCTACTTCATTAGACTTGAATGCGTGCGCGCGATTCGCAGTCGCTGTGCGCGGTGTGCTCATGACACATGCCCCATCCACTCTCCTGGTTCACTGCACATTTTGTCATCAGATACTTTGTCCTGTCGAAGCGCCACATGACCTACTATGCTGGCATTGGAGGCAAGCTCAAGGGAAGCATCTCGGTGGACAGCATGAAAGGCGTGCAGGTCGTGGGCGAGAACGAGCCCATCGACGCCACCGCCTGCACCTCCATCCCGCGCCGCCCCGTCTGCGACTTTGCCTTCAAGGTGGAGACGGTCACTGCGGACGGCCCACGCGCCTTCTACTTCATCTGCACCAGCGAAGCCGAGCGCGAAACGTGGCTTGCGCGGCTGCACGCCGCACGCACAGGTGACCAAGACACGTCATCGCCACAGCAGCAGCAGCAGGATCAGCAGCGCCGGCAACAGCAGAAGATGGTGTTTGTGCCCAAGTCCGAGGCAACCCAGCGCCTCAACATTCTCCGACAACCTTGGTTCCGGCGCACCGCCTCCAGTGCAGACATCAAGGTGTGTGCGTGTATCTGTGTGTGTGTGTGTGTGTGTGTGTCTGTGTCTGTGTGTCTGTGTCTGTGTCTCTGTGTGTGTGTGTGTGTGTGTGTCTGTGTGTGTCTGTGTCTGTGTCTCTGTGTCTCTGTGTCTGTGTCTGTGTCTGTGTGTGTGTGGCTGTCTGTGTGTGGCTGTCTGTGTGTGTGTGTCTGTGTCTGTGTCTGTGTCTGTGTCTGTGTCTGTGTCTGTGTCTGTGTCTGTGTCTGTGTCTGTGTCTGTGTCTGTGTCTGTGTCTGTGTCTGTGTCTGTGTCTGTGTGGGCACGCACTAGCGCGCCCACACTGGCTTGTCGTGCACCAAAGTGGCTTTGCGTGTTCCAGTGCTCATGCCATCAATCTCATCGCGTCGCTGCTCCCCCCTCCCCTCCGGTTTCACAGCATTATCTGCACGGAGCGCAGGCAGGCGCCTTTGCCATCACAGACTCTCCAGGTTACCCCCTCCCCCCGCCAACACACACACACACACACACACACACACACACACACACACACACACACACACACACACACACACACACACACACACACTCCATTTGGACGAGTATGCGTGAGTGCGTGCGATGTAATTCACTTGGTTCCAAGCACGTCAGCCATCCTTACCCCTCCCGTGCGTCCGCCCGTCTGTCGCGTGTGTGTACAGGTCGACCTGGCGATTTTGATCTCTGGATCCAAACAGGCGACCGCGTCATCAAACTCCTCATCCTGCACCAGTCTTACAAGGTGTGTGTGTGTGTGTGTGTGTGTGTGTGTGTGTGTCGTAGTGTTTGGTTTGCTTCACTAGCTTCTCTATCATCATCACCATCGCCATTAAGACCAGCCAGTAGCAACAGCAACCACGCTCCCATTTCACGTGCTCCAACGCCACGCGTATCCCCCACCCCACCCCAACGGCTGTTTGCCGCTGCCGCCACACGTTATTAGGGGCTCACGTGCAGCGGACTGCAAGGCGCGCGTGTTCTCTTTGAGCACATCCTCGACTTTGTGTTCCACTACTGCCGCAAGCCAATCCGCATCAGGCAGCTCCACAACCAGCGGGTATGGCAGAGCCAAGCATGTGGGGGAATGTAACACCCAGTGTACATGTGCATGCTTTGAGTCTGCTTGCCACGGATATGTGTGGGTGTGTGCACATGTTTTTTTTTCAACGCAGGCGCGCACAAGCGCTCACTTCTTCCCATTGCGACTCGCTGTTCATGAAACAGGTGTATCTCAGTCTCTCCGCGTGCTCCAATGCCGAGAACAATTGGAGGGTATGTCATTCACATTGCACACACACAGAGAGAGAGAGAGAGAGAGAGAGAGAGAGAGACGTACACACACACAGAGAGACACGGAGAGAGAGAGACACACACGTTGCTCACCTTGACCATCACCATCGATCATTATTCATCGCCACCGCTGCCAGGCTCGCCACGGGACGGTTTCACGCCCCGTTGTCCGCCCAACACAGCAGAGAAAGCAGCAGAGCCAGCGCCAGCGCCGCCTGCAACAACAGCAGCGGCGTGAGGGCATGAAGGGCTCACATCATCAGTCTTCACCGTCCTCGTCCTCGGCAGCGGCGTCACAGCACCACCGAGCGACGGTCGGCACCAGCGACAGTGTGCAGTCGCCCGCGTCTGCGTTGGAGGCGGCGCAGGACACGATTGCGGCGGCAACAGCGGACCTCTCTGAACTCTCGCAGCGGTACGCGTCCAAGAAGCAGAAGATCGACGACCTCAAGGTCAGCGTCGAAATCTCCATCTCCTCCACGGATCTGCGTGTGCGCTCGGCCAAGGACGCGTACCTGGCGTTGGTGTCTCGTGCAAGCAAAGTGTCTGCCCGCGATGCAGCCAAGGACACGCTCGCACACGTGCGCGCCGCCATTGAGGCAATGGGCGGGGAGGCGGAGGCAGACACGGCCGAGCTGCGGGCGACGTTTGCGGCCATGAAGGACGTGGTGGGCGCAATGGAGACAGAGCTCGCAGCCTTTGAAGAAGCCATTCAAACCGCAAACGCAAGCGTGCAGGGTGCGCTGAAACACGTTCGGAACGGCGCAGCCCCTGGTGATGTGTCCTCCAGCATGAATGTGCTCAACACAACAACGCGGGCGGCCAAAGACGCATTTGAGCGGTTGAACTCGGAGCTGATGGAGCATGTGCTTGCTGTGACGGACGTGCTTGGGCGGGACCACAGCGTGACGGAAGACCTTCAAGGCGCACGCACGCTGGTGGAGAAGCTGGAGGAGCAAGACAAGGAGGAGAGGAAGGAAGTGGATGATGATGGCGGTGGTGACGGCGACAACGCGGAGAGTCAGGGCGGTGTTGCCGGTGGTTTTGATGGTGGGGGTGAGGTGAGCTCAGGTGGAGCTGCTGATGAAACCCGGGTTGAAAGTGCACAAGAGGGAATGGAGGAGGAGGAAGACGACCCGTCCATGCTGGTGGCTGTTGACGAAGACGTGTTCGATGCGCTGGCAGTGGAAAGCAGCAGCAGCAGCGATGATGATGATGGTGATGATGATGGTGATGAGATGAAGGAGGAGGGAAAAGACACGAAGGAGGAGGATGTTGAGGGGAAGGAGGAGGTTGAAGATGGAGGTGAGCGTGTTGTAAGCGACGAGGATGTGCGTGATCATCAACGTGGCGGTGATGACGCAAGCGTGGCCGTTGGGACGAATAAGCCCGACACCAGCATGCACAATGTCGACGACAAGGAAGCTAATGGTGATGGAGATGGCGTACACGATCATGACGAGCAGGCGGAGGAGGACACAACAACACCAACGACAGCAGCTTGTGCTGTGCAGGACGCCAAACAGGAATCGGGCGATGTGGTGTCGGCAACAGATGTCAATGAGCACCAACAGCCCACCACTTCATCGGCCACAATGACACCAGCTGCCAAGTCTGATCACAGCACCACGTCCAACGCCTCCACTGACACCACCACCAACACCAGTGCCCCCACTGCTGCTCCCACCGCCGACAACAACAACACCGCCACCACCGGCTCCTCCTCTGACGACGACGACGACGACGACGATGACGTTGTTGACCTGATGGTTGATCAGCGGCCGCCAGCTGGTGAGCACTCGCAGCGCGCGGACGAGATTGCGGCCAAACGCGAGGAGCGCACACGCGCGCAGGAGTTTCAGCGGAAGAAAGAGGAGGAGGAGGAGGAGGCACGGGCGTTTCTGCAGACTCTACTGCAGGAGCCGATTGACGGCGACCTTGGCGATGCCCTGAAGAGTGGGCAGATCCTGTGCAGGGTGAGACCGTGTGTGCGTGTGTGTGCGTGCGTGTGTGTGTGTGTGTGTGTGTGTGTGTGTGTGTGTGTGTGTGTGTGTGTGTGTGTGTGTGTGTGTGTGTGTGTGTGTGTGTGTGTGTGTGTGTGTGTGTGTGTGTGTGACAGCATTGTGCAGCATATTTTCACGCGACAAGTCATCAACATGAGCACCTCATTTGGACCTGGTCCCTTTCTCTCACTCACTCACACACACACACTCACACACACACATTCTCTCTTTCTCACACACACACTCACACACACACTCTCTCGGCGTCTCTCTCCCTCTCTTCTCTGTTGCGCCCACACAAACAGGCGATGAATGTGCTGTCGCCCAACAGCGTGCCGCGCGTGAGCACGAGCAAGCTGTCGTTCCACCAGATGGAGAACATTGGGTATTTTCTCAGCGCCGTGGAGGGATACGGTATACGCTCCTCAGATTCGTTTCAGACTGTCGATCTCTTTGAGCGGCAGAACATTCCACAGGTCGTCCGCACCCTCCTCCACCTCAAGCGCATCGCCACCCAGGTCTGTATGCACGTGTGTGTGTGCGTGTGTGTGTGTGTGTGTGTGTGTGTGTGTGTGTGTGTCTGTATGCACGTGTGTGTGTGTGTGTCTGTGTGTGTGTGTGTGTATGCACGTGTGTGTGTGTGTGCGTGTGTGTGTGTGCGTGTGTGTGCTATGGTCGTCACTCCTGCTCCTCCTGCTCGTCGCTTTCTTCTCCTTCGTGCAGTGCATCGCCTTCTCACCCTTGCGTGTTGTTTTCCGTGTGCACAGCGCGGCCACATGCCCACCACCAAGACGGCCAACAAGTCCGACACCGTCACCAAGCCCGATACTGCTGCTGCTGCCGAGAAAAAGGGTGCAGTGAAAGCGCCTGCTGTGAAGCCAAAGCCAAAGTCAACACCAACGTCAACGCCAAAGCCAGCAGTGGGTAAGAAGTCACAAGCAGCACCTCGACCACCACCGCCCGCCGTCTCGCCATCGCCACCGCCGGCATCGTCACCAGCAGCGTCGCTGTCTGCGTCTGTGTCCAGCGCATCGACCGCAGCCACGCCCACCCCGTCCTCGGCGGCAGCGCCAACAACACCGACCAAGCAAGAGGCACCACCTGCTACAGATGCAGCACCAGAGGCATTGGAAACCGTTGCAGCCAAGCCGAAGACACAGCAGCAGTCCACGCCGCCGGTGCGAACGTTCAGCATGGGCGGCAAGTCGCTTCCCGTTCCCGCCAAGTACCGCAAACAGCCCAACGCCTAACCGCAATGTCGTGTGCTTGTGTGTGTGTGCGTGTGTGTGTGATGTGATGTGATTTGTGTGTGTGTGTGTGATGTGATGATGATTTGTGTGTGTGTGTGTGATGTGATGTGATTTGTGTGTGCATGTGTGTGTGTGTGTGTGCGTGTGTGTGTGTGTGTGTGTGGGTGCGTGTGGGTGGGTGTGTGTGTGTGTGTGTGTGTGTGTGTGTGTGTGTGTGTGTGTGTCAGCGCCCCTCTCGCTTCTTCCAGGTCATCTCAAGCACGATGAGCCCGCCTTCACTGCTTCTCATTTCTCGAGTTCCCACCGCCTCTCCTCAACGTTTCCGGGCGTCCACACGCTCGACCGCGTTCTACAGTTATTGCCATTGTCACCCCCTCCCCTTCGTCTTTGCAGTGTCACCTTCATGTCTTCGTGTTGCTTACGTGACCTACCAGCCCATCGGTTCAACATTCGCTACATTCCACTCATGCGTTTGCCGTGCGTGTTTCGTTTCATTTACACCGCCTCTCATACATGTCACCTAATTCATCATGTTCCACGCTGAAAGGGCACATCCAAGCAAGGAAC